TAGTAATAATAATAATAATAATTATAATAATAAAAACAAAATAAGTGATGAAAGTCCTTTTATTTCTTAGTTAAAAGCCGAGTATTTTTTAAGTCGATAAAGCCAATGGTCGTTATCGGACGTACGGAGATTACTAGATTTTAGGGAAAAACAACGTAGGCTTAAGGTAATTAGTTAAGCTAATCGAATGAAGAGTACGTCTTTTAAAAAATAAAAGGAAAGTGTTTCATACGATTAAAAAAAAAAAGTAAATAATTAACGAGCGTGCCTCCGCAAATATATTAGATGGGCATAAATACAAGGACTACGGCATGAAAGAGAGAGAGAGAGAGAGAGAGAGAGAGAGCACTCAAATTTATACTTAAAAATACAAAGAACGTATTATCAGAGTCTGTCTCATTCGTACTTTTCCGCCCTTAGCTCTTCCATTTTTTGATATATATATTTTTTTTTCGTAACTACAGTTTATGCATAGTTTGACAATAGTTGGAAAATAAAATATAATGCTGCTGCTCAGTGCTGTGCCAATTATTTTCATTGCGGTCCACAGTAGCGGCGAAATTAATTAATTTTTTTTGTATTGCGAACGATTCCACTTCCACGCTAGATGCTAAGTTTCAGCACACAAAATCTTTATGCGTACTAACATATACGCGTTTTAAAGATTTTTAGGTGTTAAGTTTTAGGGATTAGGAAAAAAAAAAAAAATAAATAAATAAAAAAAAATGAAAAGACAAATTAAGAGTTAAACGAAAGGAGACAGAAGCGCCCCGAGCTAGATTTTAACTCCGATGGCCTGGTATTATGCTCGCCAAACGGAGCGAACTGTATACTCTTCCATAGCAACCATTCTGGTCACAACTGGTTCCATAATTGTAAAACAGAAAAATAACAGACACACAAAACGAGAAACGTTGTCGTGGGCGTGGTGGCCTTAAACTGGGGACTTTTTACAATAAAAAAAAAAAAATACTATTCGTATTGCAACTTTTTTCCTTAATTTCTATTCTTTTACAGTACTGATCTGCTACAGATTTTCAAGACGCCTGTAGTCAAGCTTTTATTTCAAAGCTTCTTGTTTCTATCATCACTCGATGCATCTTATCTTCAAATTTAGCTACTTTTACTGCACAGGATTCCTCAATATCTTATTTTTCGATTATTTTTATTTATTTATTTTTTTTTTATACCACTCGAAAGGTAGATATTGAGGAATTATAGGCATGCGCACTAACTATAGTTGAGACTTGTACATATAGAAAAATATATATCTTCATCGCTTGCACTTCGGGAAGGAATGGACCGAGTGCTACTTGGATTCTTCCTTGTCGAAGCGCCACATCGCCACCTTTTCAAGCGTATATAAGATCTTCATCTAACTAGCTGCTTGGGATTCCAAAAGTAAGGTACAATTTATCTGCACACTATAACGCCAATGCATCCACTCTATCATATTCCAATATTTCAAATTTATGTCTTTGTCTGAATTTTTCTCGCGCCAATCTTGAACAGACACGAGCAGCGACAGTTATCGATCGCCCAGTAAAAGGTTTTTCTACCAGCTTTGATGTCATTTTAATATA